AATATCTGGCTGGGGTGCGAATCACTTCTTTCTGGGTGCATGTCAGCTTCTAAGATCTCTCTTCTTGCTGGGTACCTCTGATAGCCCTGGCCAGGATGTACCGAGACCCTGCAGTGGGCCTCGTTGAGGCCTAAACCTCAGTTGATCTCCTGTAGAAAAGTGAAAGAATTCCCCTAGCTAAGCCCTAGCTCCACAAATGACAAGCTGTTTGAGGTTCTGAGCCATGGGGCAGTACCCTGTTGGTATCCTGAGTGGTGAGAGTATGAATTACATGGAGTCAGTTCCCCAAACACTTGGCACACTGTAAAGGCAGAGGCGGGTGCCCCAGCTCCCAGTGGCATTGCAGAAACTGACAGCTATTCATCCTAATCCCCAGAGAGGCATCCCATTGTGAATGCACATCTTGCAGCTCTTCTCTGCGTGGAAGGGGCACAAACATGTGTACCATTTTGCAGCGGTTGCGCTGTTTAGAATCTCTGTACCACCTTGTGAACTTCACCTGAGGAATGAGCATATTTTATTCATCTTTCTGTCCCAAAGGGGCTCTCCAAGCTAACCCTATGACTGAAGGCATGGGAAGGTGATGCTGAAGGAATAACTAAAGTTCCCAGGGGAGTGAAGACAGTGAAATTAATCACATCATTCCTACGATGCCCTGCTAGCAAATCACCTGACTGTTAAAACCCTGGGGTGGGGTAACCAACATGGGCCTATTGTATTTAATTAGCATCCCGCTTGTTCAACTAGATTTAGAAGATGTTAATAGTAAGAATATTTACATTTCTCAGTGGAGTTGACAAAGCACTTTAACAAATATGGGTTCATATTTCTCATTCAACAGGCAGCATACTTCTTCATTTTACTCCAGCATAAACTTAAGTTCAAGTACAGCAATTTAAACTACATCTGTAACTCATAAATTAGGTAGCTCTTGACTCTACAAGCATCTGCAATTTGATTGCTAGACCTGCCTGTGATCATATTAGAATAGAATCTTTCAGTTGCCTCTACAGACCAAAAGTCTGGGTCAGGGTGAGACTGGTTTATGAAATTCCATGTATGAACCATCTCCTATATCTGGAGATGGACCTAAAAGGTATCTGGTTTCTTTTTATGCATTTCATTCTGTGATTTAGGTATGGCACTGACAAAACAGTACCATGTTACAAGTGAGGACAATAAACTCAAAAACCGATATGTTGAATGTTGGGAGCATAGAGGTTCTAAAGGTACAACTTGAAACAAGTTCTTCTTGCTCCAAATTTTTGATTCTTCCTAGGGCTCCCAAAACAAGAGACAGAGGAGATAAGATAAGGAGGAAGGAGGGGCAGGAGCAACTCTTACAAGTCTAAATTTTATTCTAGGATCAATGGAAAACCACTAAAGGATTTTAAGCAGGAGAGTGATAAGTTCTGGTTTATACTGATTTCACTAGATGACTGGTTGAATGGACAGACAGACCGAGAGATCTGACAAATGTAGTTGTTGGTTTTAAAAGACAAGAGTTGATGAAGGAGAGAAGGAGACATGTGTTAAGGCTTTGTTGAGTTGATTTTGATGAACTGTAGCAGCGTCTGTTAAGATCGTCATACAATGCCTAGAGTGAAGGGGATACACTGAAGATTGTGTCTGAAATTGCAGAGGGGTAGGATGCGGGACACGAAGGCATAGTGATCTGGTTGCATTGCTGCTCACTTTGGCCAGGATAGAGGATGACCATACTGCAGGCCAGGTCCCAACATGGCGGCTGTGAGGCCTTTCCCATCACTCCCAAAGAGAATTGCTTCTCTCCCTGGGCTCTGCCTGGCCAGTTCCGAGGACACCAGGTGTCTGACGTGCCTGGCATAGCCACCGCAGGAATTGTGCTCAAGTCCACATCTTCCCTAATAACCTTGTGTCTAAATTGTAGTGTCATACAAGGGCGTGTTTAGAAATTAGCATTTGAAAAGAAGCCTCCTTGCTTTCAGTTTGAGCTGACATGGTCCCTTTTCCTCTGTGGAAATGAAATTTATTAATCATAATAAAACCATCGGATTCTGAAGGTAGAGGTCACCCTGAGGAGAAAAGGAGGCTGTTCATTTGCGAAGAATAGTTCAATGCTGCTGTATTTTTCTTCTGCCTGGGTAGAGAATACTGCCAAATTGTTACCTTGGGTTTTCCACAAAGGTTGAAACTGTGCCCGGTATTTCAGCCGAAGAAGGATTTGCCACTAAAGCATGTAGTAGAGAAAAGTGGGAGCTATGCTTTCAATACATTCATACTGCCAATACGTTGCCTCCCGACAGCGGTACATTTTGCCCCAATTTTTTAAAACATATATAGTGTTCTGAATTTGCATCTTTATACTCATTTTGAGAGAACAGCATACCAATGGCATCACTTAATAAATTTGCACAGAATTTCAGTTTGCCTGTGCAGTTACATCCTGTGCATACGACCAGCTTTGCTAGATAAAAGTACATTCAAAATAGTCCTGTGAACAGGTATTTCCTTTGACCAGTAATAGACTTTTCCCCCGTTAAGTAGTGAATACCAAAGTCACAGATTGCATCCTTTTAGCTCTGTTAGTGTCTACTCCTACCTAACTGGGTAGAGGCCTAGGTTTCATGGGTGACCTCTTTGAATATATGATTTTTTAAAAACTTGATCATTCTTGTTTTAACACAACCTCTGTCTTGGCCTCACATTTGTTTTTCTTCAAAGAAAAGAGGGCTAATTAATCTTTTTGATAAGCACAGAGGTCTGAAGAGTGTCCCAAAGAATGAAAAGCAAAGAGTTTACTATTTGTAACTTTTACGGAGATTCACCTGAGGAAAGACATATCCATTCATAGCATTGCTTTGAAGGACCAGGAGAATACTGTTGAAAGTGAAAGCCTCATCCAGATTATTTGAGCTCAGTGTCCTTTGAAACAGTCAAGAAAGGCTTTGGAATTAGGACACGCCCAATCCAAACTTGATATCATCAATTTCCTCCCATACGGGATCTAATTTAGAGTCTGAGGGATAAAGGTCTTTCATCTAGCTTTTTACACCTTCCAGCTTACATGGTGTGAGAACATAAATAAGACCCATTCAATACATGCTTATTCAGCATCTATGAGAAAGAAAATTGGAAGGGACATAGGGAAAAGATAGGGAAGGAGAAGGGTGAAGTGTGTGCAATTTGACTTAAAGGATAGGAGGTGAGCTTAAAGGTGATAATGCAGATAAATAATTTCTTCCTGCCTTGTTCCTTCATTTAAAAAAAAAATTATTTTAAATCCAAGAGTCAAAAGCTGTTGAAAACTCACATAGATCTTAGTATGTAGCAAGTCTACTCATCCCTAACTGTTCTCAGTATTAATTGCTACTGGATTACACCTGGTTTCTTCTCTAGAAAGTTGCACTCTACCAGAGGGAACCACTTCAAGTCTATGGTGAGTCCTTGTCACTCAGGAAAGACCACAGCTGATGCTTGACTTACATGGGCATTAAAAAGCCAACCCACTTGCCCCATGGGACCAGGACCAGACCAAATCCTTGCTTGTCTTTTTTACCCTTGCTTGGACCTGCTTATTTTTCTCTCCTCCTCTTGACAACAGCCCCTAAATAAATCCCTTGCACAAGTTTAGGCTCAACTTTCAGAGAACCGAAGATTGCATCTCAGATTTGATCAATATCAAAACAGCACTGTTCAAAAAAAGATACCTGGCAGGTGAAACAAGTAAAGGCACATGACACTGGAACAGGCATGCAAGTTGCCCTGAGAGATTCAGCAACCAGCTCTCATTCTGTCTGGCTGCATGACCTTGATATAGAATGAGTCTCTCTGAACCTGAATTCTGATCGGTTCCAGACATTAGGCATTGAAGGCATCTGGCTTCCCTTCCATCTTCATTTTTATTTTAAAGTTTATACTAGAAGCTATCTCAGTGGAGGGAGGAGAAGAGTAGAGAGAGAAACTTAAAGATGAGAATATATCATTAAAATATGTTGTTTCAAATGCCTGTCTTCCCAGATCCTGGCTTTAGATGAGTGAGATAGAAGTTTGGGGTGATAGGACCAAAAAAAAAAAAAAAAATACTGGATCTAATGCTTAAGCAGGGTGGGTTGCTACAAACCCATTAAGGGTGCTCCCATTCAAATATACTTGCCTTTCTCCCTTTCTAAGCTGTTGGACACTAACTGCACAGACAGGTTCATGTCACTCTTTCTGATCTGCCCTATCTCACTTGGTTGGTGACAGCTAAACAAGAAGAAAAAGTCTCTTTTGAGAATTAATATATTCTCAGGGGGCACTGGGTTTGTCAAGACCACTCTTTTATGCTCTTTATTCTTGTCTACCTCAATATTAAATGTAGGTACATGAGCAGTGTAGAAATCGGTATGATGGAATGAGGAAACATATGCCTACATATTTATATATATCTATATATGTGCGTGTGTGTATTTGAGAGTCTTCAAAAATTTATGGAAACTACATGTTATGAGAAAAAAAACTGTACATGGATTTCAAATGCTTTTGCATATAATTCCACTTTTTCATGAACTTTTTGAAGTACCAGTTGTATGAGTATACGTACATGTAAGGGCATCTCTCCTGCTGTATTTGTGGGTTCTTTATCCAGATAAAACCAAGCATGGATCTAAAGATTCCAGGATGCAGAATCTGTGGATACAGAGGCCCAATTGTACTTTGCCAGTTTGTACAGGGGACTTGAACATCCATGAGTAGTATCCACAGGTGTTCCTGGAACTAATCCCCAAGGATACCAGGGATCACTGTATATGTGTAATTATATATTAGATGTATCACTATGACCAGCCACACAAAATGGAACAAAGAACACACTACATAGATGGACTTTTCTTATGTTACATGGCAGAGTGGAATATGTTTCTTAGTCCAAGATGTGTAGAGCCTCTCCCCACTGTCTTGGTATTTTGTATTTTATGATTGTTATTACTACTTTGTAATGACCTGTTATGGATCAGTCTTCACCTCTGTTTTCCTTGCAGTTACGGACGAGTTTATGCTGCCGACCCCTACCACCACACACTTGCTCCAGCCCCCACCTACGGCGTTGGTGCCATGGTGAGTACCGACTCCTCCTTGTCCTCATTTCTTCCTGCCTCCCCTCCCTTTCCCCAGCTGGGACCTCAGTATGGGTTGACGCTTGACGTCCTCTCACTTTCCCTTAATTGAATTTGTCTCTTGTGCTAACAGCAGCTAAAATGCCACATTAATCCTCCCAGTAAACTTGATAAATGTCTTAATTTCTTGGCAATGTAGTGCATGTAAGTTATTATATTTCTAATTTTGCAAGTCTCACCTAGCGGAGCACTTACCTTAATGGAATAATTAGTCATTTTGATAATTAAATCCATCACTAACAGAATGCAGTGTCAATGCAGAACTTTTTTTTTTCTTTTTTTTCCCTTCCTTGCTGCTCATTCACATAGCCCCAAGGTTCCAGCCCCAGCACAGACTTCAGAGGAGCTAAGCTGCACACTTCCAGGCCTCTGCTGTCAGGCAGCTGAGAATCTGACTGCCTCTCCTCCCCTATTACAATTCATGTTTAAAGTTATAGTCGCCCAGGAAAGAAAATAGAGAGAGGGGCACGCTTTGTGTGTGTGCCTAGTACATAAGAAATTAGAAGGAATCAGCTGGGTTTGGGGGTTGTCTTTTGTTTTGGGTGGGGTCTGGGTTTTTGTTTGGGGAGGGGCAGGGGGAGGGCAAAAATGGGAGGTGAGGGTGGGGTGAATCTGCCTGTACTTGTTCAAACTTCTATGCACTAAAACTCTTGAGTACAGTAAGACGTGCCCATCACGTGAGAGCGTATGCAATCATTACAAAGCTTTGGCATGCAGTTTTCTGCTTGGATCGAGAATATCAGTCCGTATCCTAAAAATAAACCCCCATAGGCATTCATTTGAATCGCCAGTATTTTAGACAAAGGAAATAGTTAAGTGCCACCTCATAGCCATGTAAAACCATGGCCAGACAATTCACTGGAACTTGGTCATAGAGATTCAACCACATTGAGAAATCTATTGTTTTGCACAAGCTGAATTATCTTAGGCAAATCATTTGTACAGTGCCCCTCTCCCAATCAGATTCCATACAGCTTGCAGTCAAGTAAGCCGTAGATTTAAATTTTCATCTCGATTTTGCATTCAACGGCTCTGCTTCAACGCCTCATCCACTTGAGGAAAGCGTTGGAAAGGAGAGTTGAATTACCGCATTCAATAAATTATCCAAATTCAACCTCCAGTGTAGATTGAGCTTTCCTCAAGGGAGCATAGTCTTAATTACTCAATCAAAGAAACAAACAAACAAAATGAGACAGTGCAAATCCTTCAATAGTCTGGTTCCTATCAGAGTCCTTTTGAGCTGCAAGGACTGGCTGATAGAATTTGGTTCTGCAGGGATTTTCTCCATAAGAAACCACTGGGGGAGGTCAGGACTGGCTCTAGTTCTAGTTCTCCCAAAATGACCTGGGATGGGTAGGGGCGCCTCCATTTCGGTTGGTTTTGAGTGTCTTATTTTTCACATTAGTCTTTTTGATGATCCACACGTTGCAAAAGGAAAATGTAAAAACCACACCCCTCGAATTGCTTTGTTTCAGAATGCTTTTGCACCCTTGACTGATGCCAAGACTAGGAGCCATGCTGATGATGTGGGTCTCGTTCTTTCTTCATTGCAGGCTAGTATATACCGAGGGGGATACAACCGTTTTGCTCCATACTAAATGACAAAACCATAAAACCTTCCAATGTGGGGAAAAAGGAAGCTTTCCGAGGCCTGAGTGTTGCAATACATGCAGTAGTGCATCATTTTAGCAACTCTAAAAAAAAAAATAAAATAAAATAAAAAGAGGAAAAAAATTACATTTTTTATCTTATACCTCAGATATTTTGTTCTGTGTATTTTAATATTGTGGGTCTTTAATTTCTGAAGGTTCCGTAGTTTGGTTGCTGGCTGTAGGAGTTTTTGTGGTTGATCTAGAGAGATGCTAGATATGAATAAAAACTGGTTTAGGGCCATATTCAGAGTGCTATATTATGTAAATGAATTATATATGCTGAATATTAAGCTACTGGGGTTATCAGCTGTTTGGGAAGAGTGTAAGTGACTACAGTAGTCATTTTTTTCTGCATCTGCATTATTTTATTTTGTGAAAGGGGAGGTCGGGAGGGGCTTAGGGGATTGGGACCGGGGTTTGGCTGAAAGGAAAAAGTATAGTAACTGATGAATCTAAACGACCCACTGCACCAACGATCATATATCAATGGTTCTAAGTTACTCATTGCCAGTTTAAGCCAAAGGTTATGTTGTTAAGGGGGTGCTTTCAGTACCACTTGTGCACCTGAACTGAAGGAAGCTGTGCGAACCCACCCTTTAAGCCATTCCACCCGGCAGTATTCAGCTTCTTAACCAGCCGCTAGTTATTTAGGCAAAAACTGCTAGTTAGGCCATCAACACGCATTCTTTTTATATTTCTTCCAGTATAATAAATTATTGATATCATTGCTGACTTTTATATTATGGGAGGGAAATAATAACATTAATAAAAAGGTGATAAAAAGCACTGTTTCTATTTTTTTCTTTTTTTCCAAAAAAAGAAAGTAATAAAAACTTAAATTCTTTGTACCAGTTAAAAAAAATGTATAAAATTTACATCTGTGCAGTGGAGTTGTTAAGTTCTAGAAACAGTCTATGAAGCTTTAGTTTTAGCCTAGTAGAACAACTGTTAGAGACAGACGTATAATTTTTATGGAATTACATGATAATCATATTCGGATTTATAGAAGCATTTTACAAGTATTGCAGTCATTGAGTAGAGATAATCATGGTATTTTCATCAGCTTGGTACTTTTTGAAACATGATCGCGTTGTGTGAGCAATCTGCAATTTTTCAGTCCGTGAGAGCCTGCCCTTTCCGCCTCTCCCCCACGCCGCCCAAGGACTATCTCAAACCACTCTCTTTAGTTCTGTCTCCAAGGCCCAGGACACTTGTCAGAAGGAAGCAAAAAAAAGTAGATCCATCCTCTTCATCCCCAAAGAAGAAAATCCCCCCACCCCTTCTCGGTTGCAGGGCCAGAGTAACACAGCTGAAAAATTGCAGTTTGTCTGTCCTTCTTCTGTTGAACTCTTTCCATGTTGTCCTGTTTACAAGTTAACCTAAGTTGGGGTATCTGTCACGGGTCTTCCTGTTTTTGTATTTAAATAAAAAAACAGCAGCAAGCTGTCCCCAAGTAGTTTTGCTGCCGTAGTTAAATCCTCACGTGTACAGTGCAGGCCCTGTGGCGTGCACTTTAGTAAGTTATCGACTCACCGCTGTGAACCTGCCAATCCGCTGTAACAACTCTGCTTTAAAACAAAACCAAACAAAACTTTAAAAAAAAAAAAAGTGTTTGTGATCCAGCTTTCTCTTGTCATCCTATGTGCATGCCGTAAGATCAGTTGGATATTAAACCATCAATAAAGTTTCACGAGATTTGAAAACAAAGTTTCTGTAGCTTCGATCTCTAAGACAGATTAGAGTTATATGGAAAAGAGAGAAAAGGGGGGGAACTGCTTAGTAGCCAAAAGCATATAAGATGTTCTTTTCACCAGACTTCTTTGGGTGGGGGAGGGAAAGGGCAAGGAGGGGGTGTTTTATAGCATCACTAAGACATTCTCATTCCCCCACCTGGATGACAGTGTTAGGACAGTGGGTGCAGGGTTGATGTTGTTGAAGGGAATCATTGTTAAAATGCTATGGCATCCTACCCCAGAGGGGAAAAAGACAGTAGGTACAGGAGGCCGGGAGGGCAAGTGGAGTTCTCCCAAGGGTCTCAGATTTCAAATCCAGAATCTGCATTGTGTTTGGAATCACAAACATAGAATTCTTACTGTGTTGGTTAAAGTAAAATTCATTTGCAGTTTTGATTTCCACCAATGAGCTGTACTTTCCCCCTTGACTGTATGTAGTTTTAATAAAATCATTTAGAGCAAGTGGGTGCCAACTGATGTTGCAGAATCTTCCGTCTCGGCACTCCGCCAAGATGCCAATAAGTCATTTTAAAATGTATGTCAGAGATGTAAACGAACATTTTGGATTTTTTTAAACAGTATTTATTTGGAATGTTTTCATTTATCTAAATAACTATTGCTATTATGAATTATGGAAAAAAGATTAATATCATATGTGGCATATAGTGACTTCTTAACACACACATCACGCAATCTGCAAACCCAGAAAATGTGTATATCTGTCTTTAGAAATTAGTGTTTATATCACTTACAGTGGTTTGTGAATAAAGAAAACTGGTTTGTAATATCAAAAATAAAAGCTTAGTCTGAAAAGGTCTACGTGAGTTGGTGTTCTCAGTCCTTTTGCTTCTGGGGGTGTCCTCAGAGGATAGATCTTCATCCACACCAGTGACTGCACTTGTGTCCCCGGGGGGCGGGGGGCGTTGGTGGGTGCTGCCCCAGTGAGCAATGGGCCGACGGGTGGGTGGACCACATGCCTCAAATTGTCTGTTTCAGAGGGCTTCCCTTCTCACTCCTCCTCTCTAAGAGATCGGTGGAACTAACCCACGGATGTTTAAGAAAGAAACTGAGTTAAGCTTAACTAGTCCCCAGCAAGGAAATGTCAGTCTTTGGTTCAAAACAAAACACCACCACTACAAATTGCATTCTGAATGAAAATCATGCTCACATTATCAGCTTTTTGAGAGTCCTTGGATGAAGCAGATGGAAAAAGAGTGTCAAAGTTTACATTTATCAAGTACAATGGGCTGAGCTTCGTGGTCAGCCTCTTGTGTTATTCCATTTAGTCATTTAAGAACCCCATTGGGGTTTGGCTCTCTAACTCATTTAGTTACTTAAAATATCTTAATCTTATTTAGGTTTTTAAATACCCCAATCAAGTCAGTAACACATGTAAAGGTCAAAAAGAATGGAGGCTGCAAGAAGCCAGTTTAAGTTTTCATCTTGATCCCGTCACTAACTAGCTGCTCCAGGACAGCTGAAACCCAAGTGCTGTGTCTTGGTTTCCTCATCTGTGGTTCAGAATGACAATGGCTCTCTAGATGTTGGTCCGGGGAACAAAGGAGTCCGTGTGAAGTGCTCGCAGCAGTACTTTGTAAATTATAAGCTGCTCTTATTCAAAGGTGAGGCACGGAGAGGTTAATTTATCTAAGCTCACACAGTGAGCAAATGCCAAGGGTAAGATTCCAGAACACACATCCGTAACAAATAGAGAACATTCGCACCTGACCCATGAGAACTTGAGAGATGGTAAGTTTTATTCAAGTACCCTGGAAAGATTTTCCACTTTCTGGTCCTCTTTGCACATCACAGTTTGTCTTAATAGCATGAATTATATCATTTCAAGTAAATTTTCATGGTCTCTTCTCAGTAAACTCTACATATAGGACTGTGCAGGTTATAATCCACTTTTAGTGCCACGCATCGGGTTATAATCAATCAATAAATTTATTGACAGGTATCAATTAATCCCTACAGCTAGAATTACCTTTCTTTTATCAATTAAAACAATAAGGATTCCAGAAGTCATATGATTTGCCCAAAATAGTGTCTACCAACTAATAGGTCATTAGGAAAGTCATGACATACTTTTCTATGCAAAAATGCGCCATGACTTTCCCAAAGACTTAACATCAGAAGTGGGTTCCACGTGCATATCTGTCTGACCCTGAAGTTGGGCCCACTCCCCAGATTTCTGAAGCATTATTGATGATGGTGGTGGTAGTGATGGAGATGGTGGAGGTGGAGGTCATGATGTGAAACCTGGGTTGTCTTGTTCCCTGTCCCATATGTGTAAAGATAGATTAATCAAAGCAAAGTCACTCGTTTTATCTTGGCAGTTGGTGTGAGGAAGATCATTGTCTTCTAAAATACTAATTTATAACAGAATCCCTCCCCCCCATGAAGACATAATTACAGATGATTAAAACAGTAGTTTACATTAAAATCTCTAAAACCAAGGCTCTTCTCTAAAATGGAGATAAGCATATACATTTCATGCTAAGTGTAAAGAAAATTAAAATGATGGCAGAAATGAACGGATTTCTGAAAAGACTCGGCCCACGGAAGCAAATGCTTATTATCCTGCTCTGGTCCTCCACCTGGAGCGTGGGCAGAGGTGAGAAAGCGAGCCCCAAGGCAGGCCATATGTGATGCACATGTTCTGGGTATAAATAGGGGCTGTTGTGTATTCTTCCACAGACAATGCCTAAGAGGTGCCCATGGCCTCATCCCACCTACAATGTAGTTCTTAAAAACTATTTTAAACAATAAAATCTTCAAGGGCTGAAACTTAAACTAAAATTATTTATGGAATTTGACTACTTGAGGGCATTATCTCAGTCCTAACTTCTCAGCCAACAACCTTTATTATTTATGATGTTGTTTCTACGTCCTGGTCAGTGGCCATTTTTGAAATCAATGTAGTTCTAGTAAGCACCCCGCCCTCCCCTGCACACTTGCATGCCCACACCAGTGCTGCACCACTGACAACGTCCTGCCAAAACATAAGGCACAGAATTCCTCTCAAGCACAACTTGTAGAAGTAGATCCTTGGGCCTCTCTGCTTCCAGCACTCCAGAAGTTAGGAGCGCCATCAGGTTGGAAGCACCATTGTCCAGCAATGGTGCTGGGGTCCTCTTCTCCCTGTAGAACTGGCCCCGTGCTGGCAAGCCGATGATGAATCTGTGCATGCATGTGCATGTGAGGCTGTGTGTGCACATACAGTAAATCATGTACCTGCACATACCTGTGTATGCATATTCTCTCCCTTTCTCAGGACAATGTATGATTATTTCTTACAAGAGGAGAACAATCCTTTTTGTTGGAAAACTTACAAAAACTGGGGGTTTTCATTGGTTTTTTGACTCATACTGAATAGCAATGTGTTAAGGGGACTTCAGAAAGTTTGTGGGGAAGTGAATCTAAACTACAAAATTTATTTTGGCGCAAAACACTCTGAAATCCATGCATCATTTTCTCATAGCATGCTTTTCATGAACTCTTTGAAGACCCCTCCCCCCAATATGTACTATATATTTGGAAGATCTGTATTGAAATCACAAGGAGCCATCTCTTCAGAAAGGCATGGAATTCTTACCGGGCAGTCGGATTCAACCACAGGTCTGTGAATCCTACAGCCTGAAAGACCCTTCCATGCCTGGGTATAACCAGGGTTTCTCATGTTGCTATTCACAGCTCCAGGGAACATAGGTCTAAGGTAGAGCAAAAACAGGTGGCCCTTCAGAAGGCACTTTGGAAGTCTCCATGGGAGTCCACTCTTACTTTCTGTGCTGCTCTAACCACCCTCCTGGAAAACTGGGGAGGTTCTAGAGGTAAGCCTCTGCAACTTAGATAATGAGGCCTATCTGACCACAGACATCTGGCCTGGAGAATGGAATTTACCAACTACTTTGAAGAAGAAATATATTCTGGAGAGTAAAGATAGTATTGTGGTGAAAACACTGAGCTGGGGCCATCAGGTGGCATGGTGGTTGAGGCGCTGGATTCCCACATGACCAATTGCATTTTGAGTGCCCAA